TATTAATTAGACATGTATTAACTTGCCCAGACCATAACCAACTCTCAATGTCTCAATACAAGCTCTTGATTTTCAACTGATTTAAACATAATTGGCGGTTAATGATTTTTTTTTAAAAATGGATAATCAACAGAAGTTGCCCTTATCCCAATTTGATGTAGAGTGGAAATTGCTGACAAAATAAATTGTGATTGTATGTCAGCTGACAGGCCATCAACAAAAAAATACCCTAGGGTATCTTCCAATGACCCTGCAGTCCAACAGCTAACATTACAATAACTTCCCTGGCTTCTACAGCATCATTTTCAACTGGGCCAGTACCCAAATCTACAAATCCTACCATTTGGTTGGTTTGCGGATTCCAGTCTATAAGTACCTCCTTTTTTTAATTAGCCAAATTGAGGAAAACATGCTTTAGTATGCTTGAATGAGCAACCATTAGAAATAATATGCTTTTAAAATGGTTTTATAGAATATTCACATATTTTCAACTAAAGTATTAATATCGTTACGAGAAATTTCATATTTCTAACGGGTGACCGACAAAAGCTGACAAAAATGTTTAATTCTGTAAAACTATTCTAAATTTATTCAGAACTAACACTTTGAACTATACTTTGTCAAATAAATATAAAAAATAAACATTTAACCATATTCGAAATTTGGTCATTTGTGATTTGCAATTTCTATACATACGTATACAATTTCACACACCGTCATCTTTATATTATATACGTGTATTATTATTGGCATATTTATTCAACAATGAAGTTGTGAGATGGTTTTGATTGACTTTACAGGAAGGACATGCTGTCCTGAATCAAAATTATTTACAAACTGAAACAAGATAATGACATTCTTTTAACACTATTTTATTAGCTTGAAGTTCCAAAGTATACAACTTGAAATAAATCATAAATTAATGCTAAACTATAACATTGCTGAAATTATTAGAATATATAGCACTTCAAATAAACGATAATAACAAACTAATGACTTTCACAATTAAAGCAAAAGTCAACATGAGCAAATTTTGTAGGGGAGTTCTCTTTATACCTTGGCTATCACTACAGAATTATACACATGGTAAGGTTTGGGGGCGTTTGGAAAAGTGGTAGCACAACCCACAAGATTTTGATGGAGTGTTTTTGATCTGTTGTGTTTTATCTATTTGTTTATTTAATCTTGACGTGGGTGATATTACGATATAACGTATAAAGGGGTTTGTAGAATTTTGTGAAATCAGAATATTTTACTTTTGATTAGCAGCTACGCTGAACAAAAATGAAATAAAGTGGGTTTAACGTACAGCTTTCTTGCAACTGGGATAATGAAGACGGGCATAAGCCATGTTGTGTACCATAAGGGAGTTTTTGCTCGGACAACAGTGCTGCTTCCCACTCTTTGGGGAAGTCCAACTGCCAAGTCGTTTTTGAAGTAGATTAGAAAAGCACAATGTTTAAAACAGTGTTTTCCAAACTGGGGTCCATGAAGTCAGAGGGATTCGTGGGTTGTGGCGTCCACGGAGGAAAAAGAATAACTGCGAAATAAGATAGAACGATATGTTTCTTATTCGAACAATGAGTTTCAGTGGGCTGATATACAGTCACTGATATCCAGTGGGCTGTTCTTAGATTGAAAAGGCGCATAGGAACAGACTAAATTTAGATCAAAGCGGGGTGCCCCCGCTTTTCCCCTGGAATTGTCTTTTTGAATGTCATCTACATTAGAAACGTCTCTCGGATTATCATTCCAAATAATCATTGTTCGTAACTTCTGTATAAACTTGCAATATCGCTATTCTTTATTTACATTTCCACTTTTAGGGTTCTCATAATAGAACACTTTTTGACAAAGTGGCGTAATAACAATAGGGAATATAAAATGTATGGTCAATGTGAACTTGTTGCTTTCGTAGCAAAATATATGTGCAATGACAAATATAGGACACCTGTAAGAGAAACAAACGGATATACCGACATGAAAAGTTACTTATGCGGAACCATTTACTGTAGGTGGGCATAGATAGGAAAGAAAAGAATATGAAGTTATGTAGAAGGAATGTATTTCTACGTACACGGTAAACATTAAATGGAATACAGCGCTCATTTTGAGATACCTATATGATAATGCCATGCCTATATACCACCATACTATACGGTTACATGCGCAATACGAGGTACATGTATCGATCCTGGGCTCGTGTAGTGGCTCTAGGGCGACCTGAACGAGGTCTATCATCGGTACCGGCTTCACAGTCTGCTGATCACAGACTATGACACATTAAGCATGTTGGCTACTGCTCGCTGTGTAGAACCCATTTAAAGCATGCCAATAGTACGTAGACGTTCATCATGTTGAAGACGTCTCATTGCAAATTAAACGTAACACACTGAAGCAAAGATACGCTAAACAGTAATTCTTATGCAAGAACCGATAGGAAAGCAAACATGGATAGGATAAACCGGCACGCGCAGTTTTCATCAACTTTTCCTTGAAGTGTCAAATTTGACAATGAATCCCTCCCACGTGTATGGCGCTATTGCGTGTCGCACGCGCAGCTCATTGGTTCTGTTGGGGCGATAAATTCTTCGTCTGTGAATATTTTCTCAAATTATGTAAAGTGTCCATGACTATTTATCATATCACAACCTGCATAGGCATTTGCATTTCAATATCCCCTACTTTTTTGGAAGAGTATATATGGATCTCCATTAATCAATAGACCCCCCCCCCCCCCGCTCCTTTGATTATACATATTTAATTGTTATTCGTGTTCCATATTCTGTATGTATTTGTCTACTATTCACATACATGTATCATTTGTTTGATAAGGACGAGTATCCTCGTCGAATCGTCGCATAGTACTAAACTCAGTAATTGTGTATCCATACAATTGTAGCTTGTCAAAAATATTATTGTACCGGCATTATAATTATTGTTCAGCTTCTTGCAGGGTGAAATGAGTATGATATAACAACCCTACCTGGTCACGGACTCCAAATAAGCATATAACACTTTTCTATGACCACTAGGGTCAAAACAAACAATATGCCATAAGCTTTTATTTTCGTCACCGGTAAGTAATTACATATTACATATAAACCATATTGTTCTACATCTACTTCAAAACAATCTGATTAAAATTAAAATACAGATCGATACATGAAGATCTGACAAGTTATATCGATAGGTCACATCAGGGGTCAAAAGACCGACTTATGACCTATGACGTCAGACATTTGATTAACCAATCAGCATTGATGTTACTAGTGGATTACCAACAGTTCCTGAAAAACACGCCTAAAGCTCGCCGTAACAGACCGTTCCATTGGCTTATCCCTGACACCATTCAGAACACAAGTTAAATAACAACTCTTCCAGATCCAAGTGTAGTAAAGACAAGTAAAACGAAATTTTGAACTATAAAAACGAAACGAAATAGGATCTCTGTTTTAGCCAGATTGCAGCATTTGGAGGGGTTGGGTATCCAGATTGTCTAACACAGGTTCTATTATGTTTACATTACAAACTTTAAGCGTGAAGTGAAGTGGCCTCGTCACGGTGTCAGGCACGTCACGGATAAATTTTCGGAGTGTAAACGCTAACCAGTGTGAGAACGGTTCTCAGTACGGATTACTGAGCATGCGTCAAATGTACCTTGACTTTTTGTCTATCACCAGTTCTTTCATCAGTTTTGTCAAAATCCGTGAATGCTCAAAAAACAACAGCGACCACAGTGCGTTACACCACATTTTGAAAAGAATTTAATGAACAATAGCCTGTATCGCATTCGTGGGGTTTACTGATAAGGGGGTGGGGTAACTCCGTAACAGAATGCGGTGCTGAAAATCAATAGCGATCGTTCTCCCATCACCATATTGGCAAATGCTTCAAATTCCAAAAAGAAACTGTAAAACGTTATGACCTGTCATGCGTTATCAAGGTTTTAGAAAAAGTGGTAGAACACTCCGGAACGGAACGAGAAAAAAAACAACAGCGTTCTTTCTCACGTGAACACAAATGTTTCATACCAAATTTCTAGAAAAGAACTTGATCTCAAATGAAATGAAATGGGGTTTAGCGTCCTACTGTTCTGCTCCAAGTGGGCTAATGAAGACCGGCATACACCATGCAATGTGATATGAGTGAAATCGTGCCCGAAAACCGGCGCTACAGTCTTCCATCTGACATTGACAAGGGGGAACTTTGTAACACCACAAGGATATCGAGCCAACGTCTTACTCACTGAGCCATCGCGGCTCCGAACTCAACCTCAAGGCTTTTATATCCGTTATATTTTCCAAGACTACTGACACATGCACATCGTGTTTATCATGTAGGCTAATGAGTTGTAATATAATCCGGTCTAATTACAAATTAAATACTTTTAGCTTAATGAAAAAATTCGTTAGATATACATCGAGGCGGTAGGATGTATAATGTTAGAATCATAATAATAATATTATAAAGACGAATGTCGCCTATTCATGCACACTGAACTGTATCAAATGAAATGAAATGAAATAATAATAATATTATAATGAAATGAAATGGAGTTTAACGTCCTACTGTTCTGCTCCTAACCTGGGCTAATGAAGACGGGCATAAGCCATACAGTGTGCTATGAGGGAAATTTTGCCCGGACAGCGGCACTACGGCCTACTCTGATATCAAATTCCAACTGCCAAGGGATCTTTTACGTGCACGCCAATGTGTACACGGGACCTCGGTTTTTCGTCCCATCCGAACGACTAGACAGCTTTCCTTGTCAGCCCCTCCGTCCTGCATCACTGACGAGGGAGAACCACGCCGGAAAATCTGGATGAACTTTCTCGGCCAATGCAGGGATCGAACACCCGACCTCCTGGCTAGCGAGCTAGCGTCTTACCCACTTAGCCACGTGATCCCCTGAACTGTATCACGATGACACTATTTCGGAGTGTAAGAGTTCTATTATTTGATTGGTTAAAATGAACAAAATCCAGCTACAATCTGTCTACACTTGCTTTATTGATTGGTCCCTGTGTTTAGAAGGGTAGTTCATTGGAGTTGAAATAAATGTATGCAATTCACAGACCTTAACGCTCTGGCGAATAACCTGTATCATAGTCTATTGATACATGGATTACAGTCGTCCGAATTTAAGATGTCTATAACTATAGTAAGGTGAGTCATTACATTTAGACTAATTCAGCTGATTAGTTGTTCGGGTGGGGGTGGGGGGGGACCGAGGTCCCTAAAGAATCCCTGACAGTTGGAATTCGATATAAGGGTATACCGTCCAGGCAAAGTTTTTTCCATAGCGTACTGTATGGCATATACCCGTCTTCGTTAGCCAGTAAACTATGGCGGGGTATCGGGTTCAAAATGCAATCTAGAGTAAAAATCAGAAAGTCAACAGTAAAAAGTAGAAAATCTAAAGTAAACGGGAAAATTCATATCTAAAAGGGTATTTTTATGGTGAAAACCAATAAATTTATGTACTGAGTCTGCAGAAACATCAAGCTTTTCAACTTTCATGGACATAATTTCTACTTTCGACTATCAACTTTTGACTTTCGACTTTCCGCTTTCTACTGTTAACTTTTAACTCTCTAATTTCCACTTTCCGCTTTCTACTTTCTACTGTCAACTTTTGGCTCTCGACTTTCCACTTCAGATTTTCTACTCACGATTTTCTAACGCAGATTTTCTCCAATACTATGGTGGCTATGTCCATATTGACCCCTTGAAACCTGCTATGTGATTCTCACAATGTACACCGACAAAAGGATAAATTACACAGAATAATAACATGACCTATGTGGGCAACCAACTGTGTAGAATAAGAAAACGTGAATAAAAAAAGACAACGAACTTTGGGTCTGCTCTGGTGAACATATATATTTTTATCAATACTACACTACACTAGTGTATACAGGTCACAATTCTATGGAATACAATTACTGCTTTTTACTGAGCGACGTTTCGACTAGGCTTCTCTAGTCATTATCAAGCTATGATAAAAAATGAAAATATGACAGGACAATATATACATGTACACAACAATGCTTAGTTAATGCTGACAAACCAGGGATCTAACCTAATGACGTGTACATAATGGTAATCTGAATAATTTGATAATTAGGCCCTTGATAAAAATATATATACTTCTATAGTATCTGCAAACTTTGTAATCGACTTTTCACTATGGTCCAGTTTATAAATAAAGTTTTTTTATTGGTGTATACATGGTAATATGCACAGATTTACACTAGTGCAAATCACCAACTTTGTAAAAACGTAATTAAATGGATACAGTGCATAGACCAGCTCCAGAAAAGGGGCTAAATTTTGAATGATTGTGTTGTGTCCAGTTCACTGTCATTTAATTGGCTGGTATGCTAATCTAAACAACATGTCCGACTTGATAGCATTATTACCCTTATATGGACACAGACTAGCAATTATTTGCCCATTGACTTCAATGTTAAATGACTGTAACATCACAGGCTGTAGCTTTTGCTCAACATTCCGTTGGTTCCAATCTTTATAGGCACAATGGGGACAACATTTGGCAATCTCCTCATCATAATTTTGTAGGGGGTTGACCATTTAGATTTTTTGCTACACAGATTTGAAGTTGACAGGGGTGAAAATCTCACTTCCGACACAATGATTGCTTTGCAGAAAGACACTTTACACCCCCTATCCCTCCGCTGTAATGTCATCAGTATTACCCAAAACTGCTATGAAATTGCAAATTTGATCCCATTTCTCCAATTCTAGACCAAAAAGTCAACCCAAAAATGCAGGAGAGGCGAGAAAAAAATTAAGGGAAAAATTGTCTATTTATAACTCGCACTACATTCGTCCATCATGAAATAAGGGGAAATAATTACTAGTCTTAGTCCATATGTTGACAACTATAAACCCGCCTACTATTGGGAGTATCAAATGACATCATTTATTATAGCGACACCATCAGCACTGTGTGATATGCCGGACTTCGTGTCTTTATTCTATTTGTAACCCCTTGCTCGGTAACTAAGAAAAATGTCACATCACACAATTATATCGAATACAAGTTACTTAAAAGATTTATATCTTGCGACGTTTCAAAAAGGAAAATTTCAAAACTGTTGGTTTAAACAATACATATATTTCATTTGGGGTAGTAAAATACAATATTGATAAACCGGATTTTAAAACAAGCCTAAACTTATATAAATCCATCGCCATAAACAATAATATTATCTTACGGATGATCTGGCAAGCCGTCAACCGAATCATATCGAATATCAGTCAATCTTCCAAATTAATTTAGCGACGGAAGCCACGGTGACTCAGTGAGCAGGACCTTGGCTGGCTAAATTGGGGTATCGAGAAAGTTGGCAAGGGACATCGTATAATCTTCGGATGGGACGAAAGACCTAGGTCCCGTGTACACATTGGCCTGCACGTAAAAGGTCCCTTGGCAGTTGTGCCACTGCCCAGGCACAATTTCCCTTATAGCACACTGTACATGACGTATGCCCGTCTTCATTGGCCCAGTCGGAGCAGAACAGTATGACGCTAAACCATACTTGATTTACTTCATTTCATTTCGCGGTGAATGTTTTGATTTTTAGCTGAAACATACATTATGCAAGAGCTAAATCTATCTATTGCAGGTATTTCTTTAGGCCTGAAATGTTATCTAAATTATTAATTAGACATTTATTAAAAAAAAACAAGACCATAATCAACTCTCGATGCTTCAGATACTCGAGATTTTAACCGGATTAGAACGGTTGGCCATTTAAAAATTTAATTGAAAAATGGGAAAGCGAGGCTAAGTCTCGAAAATACCAGTGCCCTGGTTACCACACTGACACGTCTTGTCAAAACTACAAACAGTGATAACTTGACTCAGAATGAACTAATTTGAATGAAATTTTCAATATTTTCATTTTACCTTATCTACTTTTGGGCTATTATTATAGCAAGAATGATCAGCTCTAAATCTTACATAACATATCTTTAATTAACACTCGTTGTTTCTATTTAATTTTAGTCTGGGCTTTGGAGAGCGCTAACCTTTGTTTTTCCAATTTTTTTTTTTCAATGTAGGAAAATATAAGCAAAATCCAATAGTAGCAATATAAAATAAACATATTTATATATACAATAATACAAGTACATTCACTTAGTTATCAACATTAGCCTATTAATGATTTACTGTGGTCGATGATTAACGTTAGATAGGTGGTCATGCGATTCCCTGAAGTCAAGATGTATTACAGAGGGACAATGATTACTATAAATGTTATCTATAATCAGCATATTGTGAAATATTTTCCATAACTTTTGTAGGAACAGTAAATAAATAGATAATTAAAGGTTTCGATACTTGATTGACATAAATCGTATAATGTTGTAGACATTTGACCAAATTTGTATAATTTAGAATTAGTGTATATTATCCTGTGTGTATTTGTATTGAACCATTCTAGTTTTTGTGTCTATACATGTGAAATTTATCAGTTTGAAATTGAATAGCGATTTGGTTGTAATGTCGTCAAATGCACACCCAAAATCGTCTTCCCATTTGTATATCTAGTTGGATTTAATGAAGTCTGAGTTTATTTGTTTATAATATACATCTCTCGTTTTAAATCTTCATAATTCATTTTATAAAATTGTTTCAGATTGTTCATAATGTCGTTTTGTATTATTGTTTTGTAGTCATTTTTGTTACAGTTAAAGATTTCATTATCATCTAAAAGGGTGTTTTTATTTATTGTTATGCCTTTTTTCATATGTCTTCGAAATACCATTTCCTGTAACCATACAGTATCAGCAGATCATTTGGCGTATAATTCTAACGAAGAATTTATTACGCCAACTATAAATAATGTATATATTATACTTCTGTATTAGGGTTTTAATATAGAGCGAAGCTCTATTTTACTGTTAGTGTTATATATTTTAAACCAACTGGTGAGTAATTGCATGTAAAACGGTGAGAATATCTTGATCTGATTTTGATCATAGTTACCTGATAATAATAATAATAATGATATAGAGCGAAGTTCTAAAGTATCGCACGAAACGCGGTGCTTGAGCAAAGCTGTTTTCCAGTAACACAGGAGCGTAACTAAAACTGCCACCACAGACTGTTGATTAAAAAAAAAATCAGACCGGAACCGGATACACTGGAGAAAAAATGGGGAAAGCATTTTTTTTTCACCCACCGCAACCAGGTGGTGTGCGCATGATTCAAATTTACGTGTTTTACTGGATCACGTGTTTAAAATATTGTGTATTACGTCACATACCATGTGCCAAAGCGGGATCACGTTGTGCGCAAGGCTCATCGATGAACTAATTCGCTCGGATGTAGTCGTTTCTATCATATTTTCGTAAAGGAAAACTATCGAGAATTATCACTCATATAAACAGATAATATTCGGGATTGTATACACGCGATTGATATTTTTAAAAGAGGAGGGTAGTGCCGTAAGATCAGAATCAAACGACGTTAATTCCGATGGGGTTTTTTTTGTTTTGTTTTGTTTTTGTTTTTTGTTTTTTTGAGGGGGGGAAACTAGCATATTATATAGACTATAAACTGTTAATTATTGCCGAATAATAAAAGCATTTTATGACTTTGAAACTTATCTATGTTGCAATGCCTTGTTTTGAAATTTAATCCCCATAGACTTTTTCAAGTGCACTTGAATACCAGTGCCACGCTCCAGTTTGGATAATGCCTTTCTTATATTAAGCCTAATTTAAAATTATCAAAATGATTTATTTATATTTTTGTCCCAGGAGAAATACAATTGGCTTCCAGATCTTCTCACAGTGTGCTTATCTCATATATGTTATATTGTTAAAGTAAACTTTCATTAATATTAATCATAATTTAATAAAAATTGAATTTCAAATAGATTTGAGTTGAGCCTTTAATTTGTTTTCAAAGATAGAAAAATACTTCTGGCCCCACCATTACATTGTCTCGCCGTGTTTTCATGATTTATGTTTCGTTAATTAAAGTAGGCTGTATTTAAAAAAATAAATAATTAAAGATATGAAAATTGAATTTCAAACAAATGGGCCTATAAAATTTATCAATAAACAGATTTAGGCTGATTGACTTATTGGTTTATCCTTTTACAAATAATCTTAACCCCAAACCTACA